TAAAATCGAATCGGATATCCGCGCGCCCCACGCTTGGTATTGCTGGCGCACCAAAATAAAGCTAATAAAAAGGAAACAAAGGTCTCATATATTAATTTACTCTAATACTGCTTAAACGAATTTCAAGAGTTGCGACTATTGAGGACTCCCCTCTTGTTCGGTTTATAACGTATTTTTTGACATTTTGTAAGGCCTAAATTAAAGATCTAAAATGCTGTTTTCCAAGTTGTTTTAGGGCGTATTTGGCAAATGAAAAACCGATGTTTTACTTGGAATTGTTAGTTGTTTAGTTGGCGGACGTTTCTACACAATTAATGGTTTGTTTTGGTGACGTTTCGGTTGAAATAATGAGTTGGTTGGACATTTTAATTCAATTAAGAGTTTGATTGGACGACGTTTCATTTCAACTAATGGTTTAGTTGGATGACGTTTCAATTCAAATGTATATTCCAGTAGGTTGGGAAGGGGCTTCCGTTGACCTCACTTGGTTAGGGTGAACACAAATGAACCGAAACCTTGTCCAGTTAAAAACACGTTGCTAGTACAAACATAAACAAACAAATGTGAGTCGGTGTTTCTAAATCACTAGCATATAAACAATATGTACAGGATAAGTGTAATATCTAGATTACCACACACCAAGGACCTTCGTCTTTAATAATCACCTACGACCTGTCTAGATTACCACATACCAAGGACCTTTGTCTTTAATAATCACCTACGACCTGTCTAGATTACCACATACCAAGGACCTTTGTCTTTAATAATCACCTACGACCTGTCTAGATTGCTACATACCAAGGACCATTGTCTTTAATGATCACCTACGACCTGTCTAGATTGCTACATACCAAGGACCTTTGTCTTTAATGATCAACTACGACCTGTCTAGATTACCACATACCAAGGACCTTTGTCTTTAATAATCACCTGCGACCTGTCTTTCCTGCCACCTGTTAACATCGCTACCACTACTACGACTAGCGCCACGTATACCAGTCATCTTGACCACACCAGATCAAATCAAGTGAAACCCGACATATGGTACGTACAGAAACCACAATTAACGGCTTCCATTCAAACGTCACAGCTCATCCCTGAAAAAGCTCGTGTAATCCACCGTGGATATCAGTCAGGTAACGTTTCACAAGTTTAGTGCGAAACTTCTCGCGGCCAGAAGACACGAGAATTCTTCTCGACGACTTTCCCTGTCGGCTCCATTCATGGGAAGATCCAACGTATTTAAGTGGAAAAACAAAGGAACATGTCGGGATACGTCTTCCACAAAACCATTCGAACAGATAGATCCCAGCTAATTAATGCACACGTTCGCCAGTTGTTCCGGGTATTTAAATGAATTAAAAGTGTTTGAAACACTTTTTGTTTTAATGTTGCAGAAATATGTGTTTACGTTTTATATGCGCAACACACACGTTTACGTGGATGAATGGGTTAATCCCGATCACAAGACTCCGGAACTGTCTCATCCTCCTTAGTTAATCCTCTTTACAGAGCTAGGTGAATTACACGGTTCGTCACATTGTACAGGTCTTCGGTCTACAACAAGGATTGAAACACTTGTATGTCTCGAGGAGTGACCGACCCGAACATCAAAGGAAGCCGTCCCCAAGAAAAGATAACCCAATGAATACACCATCTGCGCTGCTCACCCGCTCGTGGAGGAGATAAAACCTGTGACACTAAGTTTTAGAACAAAAAGCACCACCTTAGGGCAAATCTCACAAACTGATGTTTCTAACTTTTACTTTAAACACATAAATAAACTACGGGGGAAGGGGCACTCAATAGAGCTCATACCTCCCAGCCACGCAGCGTTGATCATATTCGGCCCTCAAAAAATACGAATATGTATCCGTCGTTATCAACGGACACTGACCACTTTTGGCAGAACAATGAGGAATAATAGTCTACATATGTCCACCAGGTTTCATCAAAATCCGATCATTTTTGACTGAGTTATAGAGGAAAAATAGGTGAAAAAACTAATCGCTTCTAAGTTGGGTCATAGTCCAAATGTATACCAACTTTCGTCCAAATTCATTCAGCCGTTTTCGAGAAAACATAATAATTAGTTCTCGATCCCCCCTACAAGAACAATAACCGACATTTCTTATATTTTACGAACATTTTCCTTTTTTGCAAAAACAAAGGAATTAAAGAAACACGAGAATTAAATTCCATCGGCTAGTTACGATCAACTTAAAAAAAAAAAAAAGTTTATAATGAGTACTAGAAGAAATGTTTAGTTTCGTATGTGTGTGTATATTTTGGAGGTGCCATATGTAATTAGCCATTCGTTATTTAAGGTGTTTGTTTTACTTTTGTAGCTAGTAGTTAATCAGTAAGTAGGTATGTTAATAAACGTTTAATTCACCCGCCTCTAACGTTCTGTTAATAGTGATGGTTTTATGGCGATCAGGAAAGCAATAGTTGAACAAGAAGTTTTATTTTTGAGTTGTGTTCCAAAAATGACGCATGCGCTGTATGCGTTTTATGATGCACACTAATCTTTCAGATGTTTGTGGTAATACAAAACATGCAGGATAAAAAATGAGGGAAAATCACATTAAAAAACCGACAGGTGGCACTGTCTTCGCCGTCAGTCTTTCCTCCACTGTGATAGTATTAGAAACGTACAATTATATTTTGATAGTACCAAGAATGTAAAATTATGTTGTAATAGTAACAAAAACGTTGAGTTATGTCATGATAGTACATGAATACAGTATCGAAAATTTTGTGTTTATGTTTTTGGTTAAGAAATAAAGGTTTACCTTCAAACTTAGTTTTTTTTTTAATGGTTTTTGGTCTATTTTTGAACAAAAATAAATGTTTTATAGGATTTAAAGGATTAACGGGAGAGTAACTGGAGTAGTAGTTGTTCATCTCCGGACTTCATGGACTAGTTTGTTTGTTTTTGAAGTTAAGCAAAAAGATACATAATGGGCTATCTGTGCTCTGCCCACCACGGGTATCGAAACCCGGTTTCCAGAGTTGTAAGTCTGCAGGCATCACAATGGACTATCTGTGCTCTGCCCACCACGGGTATAGAAACCCGGTTTCTATCATTGTGAGTCCGCAGGCATCACAATGGACTATCTGTGCTCTGCCCACCACGGGTATCGAAAACCGGTTTCTAGCATTGTTAGTCCGCAGACATACTGCTGTGCCACTGGGGGGCTTTCATGGACTTTCTTTTTTTGTTTCTTTGTTTTGAATTTCGCGCAAAGCTACACGAGG